GGAATGCAACTTTTGTGTTAGTTGAGGCTAATAATAAAACAATGAGGCTTAGATTTTCTATAATTTTTTCATTTCATATTTCTAATAATTCATTTGTACTGAATTTTACAAAAAATATCTTGGTCAGTGGCAGGCTGGAAATTAAAAATAAAACAAACAGAACCCCAAGTCACTCAGTAGACAGTCTGAGAAACTTTGTTCTAGATTGAGCAGAGGGCAGAAAACTTTCTGTAAAGGGTCAGATAGTAAATATTACAGGTTTCTGGGGCACGCAGTTTCTGCCACACCACTCAACTCTGCTGTTACAGCCAGAATGATCACGGCTTTGTTCTAATACAACTATCACTTTCTTTACAAAAACAGGAACAATGGTTTGCCCACCCCCAATCTAGAGGATAGAGCTGAAGGGTTGCCGTATGAAAAGCGAAATCTGTATTTCAGTGCTTCTTCAGAGGAAACAGCTAGAATCCAATCGGCAAGTTTACATCAAATCAGCTTTTAGCTTATTATTTGGAAGACTTCTAGTAATTAGAAATAAAATAAATTGCCTTGCAATGCAGTGAACTCATCATGTCTGGATGCTTACAAACTGAGGCTGAGTGACCTATGAGCGATGCTCTCAGAGGTAAATCCTGTGGCGGACGAGAGGCTGGAGGAGATGACAGAACATCCCTTCCAACTCAAAGATCCTACGGTTCTAGGATATTCCCATGCAATTATCTTCAATTCAAGACTGTAATACTCTCCAGCTAAGTGAATGCTAGAATAAGATGTAATTTTTCTCTCATTTGACTCTGCTGTTTGGAGATGCAGAGAGGTGTCCAATTCGGTGGGAGCGACGGGGGCTTGTGTGAAAGGCGCAGTGGGTGGAGTGGAACAGAGAGCGGGCCCCTGGGCAGCCCTGCCGCTCCTCTGAAATGCTGACGGGCGTCCAGGCCAGGAGAAGCTGCCTGCAAGGTGGCTATTAGTCATGGTTTCTGGGTTGCTTTCCACCTTTGGTTGTGATTTCAAAGAGCTTTATTAAAACTATAACTTTAACCAGAACCTTTTGAAGCCACTCTTTCTCTCTTGGGAAATCTTAGGGGAAGAGTCTTGCGTGCCTACGTGCGCTTCTCTTTCCTCATTTAACAGATAGCCTTATTGGAGTCTTCAGCCTCTGACTTTAACTTTGAATAGAAGTCATACCACATAAACACTCACCATATTTGGGGGATTTTAAAGTCATCATGAAGCAAGGGTGAACTGTGTAGTTAATAATGGAGAGGAAACACTTTTCGGAGAACAAGTAGGTCTGCCTGTGCTTTGGAGTTTTTAATTTTAGATGGAGCGCTGATATTTGGCTTCTTCTAAAAAAATGAGAACATTCTTAGTTGAAATTATATATTCCTCAGAGACAAATGCCAGCCAGACGCTGCAAAAGAAATTTTTTTTTTTCCTGATGGAATTTGGCCATATCTTTACACTGGAAACAGGAGCCCACACAAGTCCACAGCTGCAAGAGGCAGCTAATCCATGGTTACATAGAAATTTAGAAGTCTATCTTCCATTAGAGTTAACTGGAGCTGAGTGGCTAAGTGCACCTGTTCAGAAGCTGGAATGTGCCACTTGCAGTGCTGCATGGGGCGGGGGAGGGGAGCCTGAAGCCAGAGGCAGGGTGGGGGCTGCTGGAATGCCTCTTGGCTGGGTTTTAGTAAGTCTTTCAGTGAGGTGTGTGGCCAAGATTGAGAATGCTCTTCTCTACCTGACTCTCCCAGAGACAGGGAAGGTTACCTTGAATCTCTGAAGAACAGTGTTTCTCTTCTGCAAAGAGAAAATCTTGTGGTACTATCTTGGGCGGGGGGTGGGGGGCAGGTGTGATTTCATTTTTCTTGGGGCTTTACAAGTAGCATTTGATGCACAAGAAAAGTGCATGCCTAACTAAGGATGAAGGAGGCTTCACTATCCTCATCTATTTGTGGACTCGTTTTTCTCTCTTGGGTGAACCCACCAAACTTCAGAATTAAAAAAAAAAAAATCATACAAGAAGGAAATGCCAAGCAGAGTAATGAGATTCACTGAGAGAGATCCAGAGATACATTTCCACAAAGACATTAAATAAATCGTGGCCTTCTGTACAGATGGCAAGAAATACCCCTCTTCTAAAAAACAACAATAAAAACATATAACCGTATATATTGCTGGGGAAACTGTCTCAGGCCAAGCACCAGGAGCTCACTCAGATTCCAGTACGTTTCTGAATTCTTTGAAAGGCAAAGAGGGGTAGTCTGGTGCCCGAATATCTGAGGTCAAACCGTGCCTATTTCTGCGTGACTTTGAGCAAGTTACTACCTCTGCGTCTGTGACATGGGAGTCCGTGATGAGGAACAGGGTCTGACATGCTCCGTGTGAGTGTTTGTTGCCCCCCACCACCACCCCCGACCCCCAACGGTGAAGCCAGCACACGCAGCCCCTGCAGAGGCCCCAAAGGGAGAAAGAAGCATTGTGGCTCTGGACAGTTAGGCAATGTGGGGATGACCTTCTGCAGAATTACGCATGTCTGGGCCTCTGCAGATGAGAGATGAGGATTATATTTTTATTTCTTGGATTGCCTAAAATGGGGACGTACCTAGAGGAAATGCTGATTTTTTTTTCTTCCAAACAAACTAATTCCGGAATGATTGCAGTGTTACAGGGTGCTTTCCTCAAGTTTCACTTTCTATGTTTGAAACACTTGGCCTATTCCTAGTCTGTATTTATTTTTTTGTAATTTTTTTTTTTTTTGCAGTAAAATAAAGGATGAGCCTATGACTTGTGAAAGGGACAGATGACAGGAATGCATGCCCCCACACAGGGTCTCCTGAATAATTGCTTCGACCACAGCCCCAGATGCGGGTCATTACTGAGATCCACAGGGCGGTGGAGACCACATGTTGAAATTATTTATTTGAAAATTCAGGCCATGTCTTCTCAATTTACAATGTGAAAAGCAGTATTTTATTCGGGTGCATGCACTTGTGAGGCCTCTAGCTAAGCAGGGGCTGTCTGGGTGTGTGCCACTACATCCAACATCAGGAATAAATTAAGAATGTCAGAAAGACTGAAGTGACCAATTCACAGAGGAGCTTTTGTGAAGGTAACCCATAAGGAGCCCAACAAATGGCATTTGGGCCCATCTCACATACGGGTTTCTGAAAAGCTGGTGATAGGGTGAGAATCCAATCACTCCACTTGGTTGAAGACAAATCATGTCATTAGTTTGTGTCTTCTGTAATACACTGTAGCTACAGATCTGTATAGGAAGCCATATAGAGCAGCCACGCTCGAGACACACAGGCGTGGCTGTGTTAGTTTTAATAAGAACCATGTGTTACAGCCAAAACAACATCTGACCCTCATGCTTCAAATAGTATGTGTGCTTCTCAAGGGGTCTATTCAGCCAGGCAGCTGCTGGGACATTTATTCCCACATTTTTAATTTGTCTTCGGCCTAGACAAATTGCTCATATTTTAATATTTCTCTGGATATTGTTTTTCGCTGTTTTGCCTCATTAGCTTAAATCTTTTGGTTTCTAACTTAAACCCCAAATTGTTTATAAGGTGAGGTCAACCAAAATTCATTTGCTCCCCCCACCCCCTTTGGGTGCTATTTTAGTACAGAAATTCAAGTTAAAGTTATTTTTAAAGATTAGGTTACTCAGGAGTGACTTAAAATCCATTGGATTTAATGATTTCTCTGTGTAGACCAGGATAAAGAGCACTTTCTTTTGACTCAAAGATGTTTTCTCTGCTTCTTCAAAATATACTGAGGCTTGACTTGTTGCATACTGGAGAGGTGAAATGAAAAAAGTAGTTAATGATCTTAATTCTGAATTTCCCAAAAGGATCAATTCAGTGAGAGAGAGAGGTCTTTCAGCACGGTGGTGGCTATGAGGAGCTTGGGTTTTGGAGTTAGGCATGCCTGAGTTTGAAACCCGGCTCTGCCACTAGCTGAAAGATCATGAACAAATGACAGCATGCTCAAGTTTTACTTCCCTTCTCTAGGAAACAGAGGATCCCTATCTCAGTGGATTAAATGAGATCACGTGTGGTCAGTACATGACGTAGCTCCTAGAAAACAGTTAAGAGCTCAATAAAGGTCAGCTTTGTTTCAGAACCGAACTCTCCAGTCTCATTCATACAGACAGAATAACACATGCGAGTCCTGGAACAGGGAGGGAGCATAGTGACTCTTAAAATGGAATGAAATTCCTTGTGACTAGAGAAAAGTGCACGTGGGCAGGAAGGGTGAGGAGGAGGCAGGCTCAGCATCTTGTTGCTACACTCCCTGCCACCCCCCTCCCAAACCCATTATGAAATGATCCTGCCCGAGGATGAGCACATCTTCAAGCGTACTTGGAAACGAAATGCCATTGGAAAGGACGAAGCAGAAGACATCTGGCATGGACCCAGGGGTTCGTCTCTGCATCCTCTTAATCTACGAATCGCCGTGAGTCTGATATGGAGTGGATATTTACAACTAAAGAAACTTCTTTTTTTTTTTTTAAAGATTTTTATTTATTTACTTGAGAGAGAGAATGAGAGAGAGAGAGAGAGAGCACATGAGAGGGGGGAGGGTCAGAGGGAGAAGCAGACTCCCCGCTGAGCAGGGAGCCCGATGCGGGACTTGATCCCAGGACTCCAGGACCATGACCTGAGCCGAAGGCAGTCGCTTAACCAGCTGAGCCACCCAGGCGCCCCAACTAAAGAAACTTCTAAAAGATGACCACAAAGAAGACATGTTTTATCTTTATGCAAACCCTTTAGTCAAAACTACAGCAAAATGAAATGGTGAAATGAACGGACCTTGGCCTGGGTTTCCAATGGACATATTTATGATGGTTATGATAAGAAGAGATATTTGGAGAGCAAACATTGATGGTCAGGCATTTCAGAATTTCACTTGGGTTCACGTTGTCTTTAATCTATAAATGCAAGCTTCTTTTGTTAATATAGCCATGATCTTAGCAAGGTGGAGACACCTACCTTTTTCCTTTGGAAGTTCACATCAAGTTTCATTGAGGCACACTTGTTCAATGTATTTAGTCGTCTAAAAAGAAAGAAAAAGGTGATGATTGCTACCACTAAGAAACCTAAATTTTCTTTTCAGTTTGATAATTCTCATTTATTGCCAACGAAGTTGAAAGTGCAGAAACAAGAAGTTATATCCCAAGAAAGTACTGCACCTCCTCAAGATGCACTATAGAATCGCTCCCATTGGTTCTCCAGCCCTCAGACTTGAGAGGACTCTGCCATGGAGCCTACCAATCCCTGCCCAGTCCCTAATCTAAACCCAGTCTTTTCCTGGCTTCCCTTTCCACCATTGCTGGAACCCATGAGCAGTCATTTTAGCCCTGCTCTCATCAGCCCCTCCATTCATTTGCCACCTCGAACAGGTTAGTCCCTAAATTCGGGTCAACTCAACCATCTGTCCTCTCCCCGTCTGTTGGGTATAAATGGAAAAATAACTCAGTGCTGAATTATATGTGCTATAGACTAAATTGTGTCCCCACCAAAACTTGTATGTTGCAACCCTAACCCCATGTGACTGTATGTGGACTAAGAAGTAATTGAGGTTAAATGAGGTCATAGGAAAGAGCCCTGATCCAACAGAATTGGTTCCTTATAAGGGGAGACACCAGAGGGTTCGCTCTCTCTGTCTGCCAAGTGAGAACGCAGTGAGAAGGTGGCTGTCTGCTAGTCAGAAAGAGAGTGCTTACCAGGAACCAAGCCCTGCTGGCACCTTCATCTTGGACTTTCCAGCCTCCAGAACTGTGAGAAAATAAATGTCTGTTGTTTAAGACACCCAGTCCATGGTATTTTGTTAAGGCAGCCCGTGCTGACGAATAAATACATTCTGATTTTCAGCCTCAGCTGGGCTCCCAAAATTGCTACCCAGCATTCCTTTCATTTTTTTCTCTGGTTGGCTCCCAATCTCAGATTGTGAAAAATATCCCAGTTCCACAACAGAGGACTGAGCTGCTGCTGCCGATGAGAAAGTACAGCTGAGTATAAGCTATTGGACATGAATTCTTGTAAAAATCCTTTCTTTCATCACACACACAAAAAGGATGTTACTCTTCTTTGTCAAAGCTAACCCTTTATTTAACCTTGTTTTTGATTTCAACATCCACCGCTTCATCTGGGACCATGATACGTCATTCATTCCCTTATCTCAGCAGATTCTCTCAACTGCGTTCTTCTCTTTAAGCGTATCCCTGTCTTGAACAAATTGACTAACCAATTAATTAGCTACCTAAATAACCATTATCACACAAACTATTAATTTTCCCTTCAACCCTAAGTTTTTCATCGAGCAACCATGCTACCTACCCCAATATATCCTTCCTTATGCTACTCAGTCTGCTGAGAACAGTCTCAATTTTCATTCATTCAGTCTTCAATCCATTACAACCCAATTTCATGGCATGCTCTTTGCAAATACCTTTACTGTTTTGTTTTATCTGATTACTTTTTAAACATCATACATATTCATGGGGCGCCTGGGTGGCTCAGTCGTTAAGCATCTGCCTTCGGCTCAGGTCATGATCCCGGGGTCCTGGGATCGAGCCCCGCATCGGGCTCCCTGCTCCGGGGGAAGCCTGCTTCTCCCTCCCCTACTCCCCCTGCTTGTGTTCCTGCTCTCGCTGTGTCTCTCTCTGTCAAATAAATAAATAAAATCTTAAAAAAAAATAAACATCATACATATTGAATGCACATGGTTTAAAGAGTCAAACGTTACCCCTCCTGTCCTTTACCGTTTACCTCTCTTTGGAGGCAACCCTTTCACCTGTTTCTTTTTTTGGTGTTTACCTCTGACAACATTGTTTATGCTGTTAGTTCTTGATTTTTCAGTTCAAATCATTATTTATTGACTTTGTTCTATGAATGATGAAGATATTTTTATTTTTTACTACTTATTCCTATCCCTCACCTTCCCCACATTCATACCCTTTATCTTACAGTTATGTCATAATCTCATAATTTTTTGATAAATCAAGATTCACTGTTTATTACATTTATTATTGACCATGTAAACACTGTTCACATGTATATCATACTCTGATTGCTTTGTCTTCTATTCTCAACTTTTCATTATCCCAGGAGTTAATACGCATCCTGTTTGTTTCCTTAATTTTCAATGTATTTATTCTTAAATTCAAACTCAAACACTTTCTCAGCTATCTAACTCCCTAAGTGCATTAATCTATTAATATCTATTAATCGAATTTCTTGGTGATGTCTCTCTCAGAGGCTTCTGACCTGTTCTAGCTGGGGTTTGCTGCCCTTGTTATTTTATTCTATTTTATTTTATTTTACTTTATTTTATTATCATGTGCTGATCAGATTTCTCAGCACTCAGATTCGCAGATTCTTTTGGAGTATGTTTTCTAATATTCTGGAGCTGAGTTATGAAAGAGGCCCGAGAGACTCAATATTTGGAACATAAGTAGACTGTCAATGAAGCCCCCATTTTTAATTGAATGTCCCACCTTCAACTATGCCTGGTGTCCCCCAGCCTAGGGACTTCTGTCTTAGCCTCTCCAGGAAAGAAACTTCTTATCTTGTGCTGATGGTGGGCAAGAAAAGTCCCCTTGGTATAAACTGGGGGGAGTAAATTAAGGGCTCTAGCTACTTCAAAGTAGAATTTCAAACAACCCTCTTCTTTTTAACCTACCTTAAACATCATTCACCATTTTGGAGCTTTTTAGGATTATTGTGGAACAGACTGAGTTTATAACTTACTTCACTGACCACTTAGCTTTTATTTCTTGGGCTTGCCAAGTTCTCTACTACATTATTTCTGTTTTCTGCTTTGGGGAAAATTTTGTAGTTGTGGTGTCTCTCTCCTTTGCTTTTGTAAAGGCATGTCTCTCTAAATCAGTAGGAATTTAGAAAGCAAGAAAATTCAGATGTTCAATTCCCATCTTTGACCGATGACTTTTTTTTTTTTTTGGTATTCTGGCTATACATCAGCTTTAAATTTTCAGCTCAATGAGTTTTGGCAATTTTAACTACCCTCAAACAAAGTAAAGAACGTTTTTTCCCCGTAAGAAAGTTCTCTTGTACTCCTTTACCATCAGTTCTCCTCACCACCACATCCCCTCCCATCACCCCCAGGGACATCCTCTTTCTGATTTCTGTCGCCCCGTAGAATGATCTTGCCAATTCTTGATTATCATAAAAATGGAATCACGGGGTATGCATTTTCGTGTGTCTGGCTTTTTCTCAGTCAACACAGTGTTTTTGAGATTGATCCATTTTGTTGAGCATAGCAGTAATCATTCCTTAGAATTGCTGAGCAGTTTTCCATGGTATGAAGATACACAACTGGTTTTGCATACTCTTTTGCTGATGGACATTTAGGCTGTTTCCAGTTTTGACCAATGACTTTTTGTTCATCAAATTTCATATCTTCTTTTTAGCAAAGGCCTATTTGTAGCAGTAGACACTAGTTGCCACTCTCCATTCCTTGAAACTCTTCTCTTTGGCCTTCAAGATCATGAATTCTCTCATCTCTCTAAACACTGTCTCCTTCCTCTTACCAAGCAGTACTTGCCCCTTAACTATTAATATTTTTTAGAATTTAGACTGTAGTCTTTGCTTTTTACTCTGCATGAGGACACTGAGCTATCTTATCTCAGCTTAAATAAATTAGACTATGATGATGCCCAATCCTCTTTCTCTAGCCCGAACACCTCACTTGAGCCCCAGAGTTACATTTCTAAATACTTACTAGTCTCGCCCATTGGTGGGGTCCTGCTGGCCCTTCAAACTCAACTTTCAGAACTGAGCTCATTATATTCTCTTTAAAACCTGGTTCTGCTACTGAATGTCTTATCTTGATTAAGAGCAAGTAGGCCACCCAAACTGGAAAATGGAGTCATCTTGACACTCCTCTTTAAGATCGGTATTCATTTGATCACCAAGTCCTGTCAATTATACTTCCTTGACATTTTTGAAGTCTTGCCTCTCCTTTGGCCCTCCTTTGGTGCTTTCTCATCTTTTACCTAAAGTCAGGCAATAGCCTCTTAACTGGTTTCACTACCACTTCAACTGCTTTGCATTGAAACCAGTTCTATTTCTCAACTTTTTCTCATGTCACTCATTTATTTAAAAATATTTGATGACTCCCCTCATTTTCAGCCATCTCCAGTTTACCCACTGACTACACATTCATTAGTGTCAAATATAATAAGCAACCCTAGATTAGAAACTGATCATTTAGTCTGAAGCTATCTTTAGCATGGGCTTGGCCTTTGCTCTTATAACTGACAGCCTATCTTTTTGGCCAGTTCCCCATGTGTTAACATCACTGCCTAAGAGCTAAGAGTGGTATGTGAGGTAAATTTTATATATACATTCTCACTTGGATATATAATGAGATATATAAGAGCTTAAATAAACATGTGATATGTAAGAGCTTAAATAAGTCCATGTAGCTCATTTGGCAGCTCTGTAACCAGTTTGTTTAGGTAAGGATTACCCATTATTTATAAAATTTACTTTGCTAATAAACTTGTTCTTCCATTATACTTTGGAAGCACAAACAAACCTTTTTATTCTATGCAAAAGTTTTTGATCTACTACATATACAAAAGCCATCAAAGGGTTCATCCTTTATACGCCACATTCCTGAATATGCTTTTTACTTTCTGACACAAATAGGAAGTTCATTGATCATTTTTTTAAAGCTAGAGACTCAAACTAAATTTGACTATGTAGCTTTAGGTCCTTTTATCTCCCCTAAACTCAGATATTTGCTGGCACCTTAAGAATTGCTCCTCTACTTGGAGAAAATATTTGCAAAACCTGCAGCTCATAAAGGACTTGTATCCAGAATAAAGAACTCCATAACAAAGTCCATAATAAGTCAAACAATCTGATTTTAAAAATGTGCAAAATATTTGAACATACAGTTCTAAAAGAAGATATTCAAATGGCTAATAAGCACATGAAAAGATGCTTAACATCAGTAATCATGGAAGAAATGCAAATTAAAATAATAAGACACCACTACATACACTGGAATGCCTAAATTAAAAACAC